TTGCTGTCACTGATATGGAGGCGCCGGGCTCGGGGGGGTGGATCCCCTTTGTTCCGTCTGGGTGTCCGGAGGAGGCCGGAGTCCCGAGGTGCTCCGTGCGTTTGGCACCAGCCAGGCCTGCGGTGCTTGGGTCCTTTGCTGGGTGGCCTTTGGGGAGCGTCCCAGGACCTCGCCTGGTGCTTGTAATTGCAGAGGTGGGGTGGTTCGGTTGCCGCTCAGCTGGCTGTGCCTCTTTTTCTTCTCAGGTTTGGAAGTCGGTAATGGCAAGTCTCCTTTGTAACTCCTTTGCAGTACTTTACCAGTCAGATCAAGCGTGATGTCGTCTCTATCACGTAGTTTCCTGTGACAATCTACCCTTTTCTCCCCTGTCCTCCCATTGGTTATATGTGCTAGGAAGTGGCACAGCCTCCTTAGAGGTCTGCAGAGCTGTGTCTCTGAGAAACTGACATCCCTGCTATATATATATTTCAGAGAGATATCTCAGAGCAGTTCTGGTCTGGTCTTGTGCGCTGACTTCGCTTAACAGCTGGGGACACATTTGGTGTGTTCCTGGAGTGCTTTTTCCAGATTAGTTTTATTTAAAAAAAAAAAAAAAAAAGGCAAACTGATTTTATACACTACAAGACTGCTCCTTGATGCTACTGGAGTGGGTTGGGTGGTGGGTACTGTCAGGAGACTCACTTCAAACAGCAAAATCACGATGTGAACTAGAATGTTAACAGTAGAGTCTGCCTTTGTGGACCACCTTGAAATAAGAGGATTTGTGCAATTTTCCCTTCTGTAGAGGAGTTCTTTGTTTTGCCAATGGAGATGACTTGTGATGTTTTGAGTTTGTCTGACTGTGGAGTAGCATTACAGCATTCATGTAAATTTAGTTTTACTTACAGCACACTGAGTCTCTATTTTCAAAGTTACCAAGATTAATAGAGTTGTTGTTTCTGAGTGGCTGGTTGTGTTTTCATATATTCTAATGTTTCTTGGCCAAGTTAACCTTTTGGTTAGCTACTGCTATGTGTCCTGGACACTGATTAATAGCAGATCGTGAAGGACCGTTGTGGTGTCATGGTGATGTTTTGTTGTGAGTGGGTATGTCCCTTCACTTGCTTAGATGCAGGGGTAGCTTGCATGAGAACTGTGCCATCCACAGCTACTGTGCCCAGGTCAAAGCTGCATGGGCTGGTGTAAACAAAGATGGGAGGCTGCCCACCTCTCTGTCTGTGATACAAATAAAGAAAAAGCCACATTAATCTATGAAATCTTAAGAGCTAGGTGTTAACATTGAGTATTTTCTCTTGTAGCAGTAAAGATTAAACCTGGTTTTGTTGGGAATATGTTATGTGCAACTTATCTGAAGCTAAGCTTCCAGTTTGATACCATTCCCAGATATCCTTTGCTTTCCCAAATATGAAAGTAGCTGAAACGTAAGTTCTGAAGTTTTGAAAAACCTTTTAACTCTGTGTGCAGCAATAGCTAACTTGCAAAAAAGGGATTTAGGATGGAGCAGAGAAACTGAAGCAAAGATCTGTGCTCTCTGAACATGGTGGTTTTGTATCGCAGGTACATACTCTGCTCTTACAGTTTTAGAAGTTTTAGTTTTTGTTATTAATAGTGCTATGTTCAACAAATGCTTCTGGTTGAGTACTGCTGTTGGCAGTAAGAGTTTCTGCCATTTTGAAGTGGCTTTGGTTTCCTTTGTCATATAAAGAGGGTAGTTTGGTAATCCTTGCTCTAGGGATGGTCCCTTTGGTAAAGAAAATTATGTACTAATCAAACCCCGAGTGACCTGTATTGGTATTCCTTGTCCTAATAGGACTTTTCTGAACATTCAATCATTTCTGCAGGAAAGTAAGATAATTTTCTCTTAGCTTTACTTCAGCAGGATATAAAACATTGGATTTTATTTTTTTTTTAGTGCTGTTTTCTCCATTCCACCCTGTCTGAGTCCATCTGAACTCTGTTAAACACAGTGACCCTGTTCCCATCCCTCCCTGGCTCAAAAAAGGATGTCCATATATTTGTGGTAGCTCCCTATTGAAACAGTGTTTTTATCAGTTGTGCTGCTCCCCTGATCTAGATGCAATAAGCATGCTTGACATTTTCCTTTATGGTGTTTCTGTAAACAAGCTAACAGTCAAATAGAAGCATGCCGCATCTGTTGCTTTACTCTCATCTCCTGAGCCAGCTACCAGATCAGTGAAGGAAATCCAATTGGTGTGGCATGATTTGCACTTGACAGACCTGCTCTTCACTTTGTGTATTATCTTACATGTATTCTGAAACCAGTTCATAATTTGTTCAACATTGTTTCCTTGGACAGTAGGTAAGATGATTGCTTTGGATTGCAGATACCTGGGGAGACAGAAATCTTGTTTGTTTTTTTTCCCTTCATCTTAACCTCAGTGAACATAGGAAGATAATTGATAGGCTGAGTTCTCTCTGTGGTTTTTCTTAACTAATTTTGTGTGGAAGAACTGAGGCTTGAACTGACAGTTTGTATGCACTCTTCGAAATCTGGGAGTGAGATGAAATTATCTTTTCTTTCAAGGTATACAAAAACTAATGGAGTCATTCAGTTTAAAATTTAATGATGGACTGAATCCATCATCTTTCAAGCCTATTGGATTTTCTGGAGGTATGCAACCACTCCTCTTTTGCTAGGGCGTTATATTATAAAGCAAGTCCTATTATAAGACTAACAGGGACTGGGTGTTTTCTAGTGATAATGCTTCTGGAACTGTAATTTGTATGTGCTGGCTTTGCAGGATTAACTGGTCTGTTTCCCATGACTCCAAGCTGTTAGGGTTTTTTCCTCAGAACTGGAACATGTCTGCAGTAGGTAAAATTTTTATTTTCTTCTTACAGATGATATAATTAAACTGAACAAGAAAGAAGAGAGAAAGCAATATTCTCCCAAAATGAAAAGAGGGCTTCAGCAGAATCAAACTCGACAGTTCAGGACACCAGGCTCTAAGTGGGGAATCCAACAGCAGAAAGGTGTGTATGCTGCAATCTAGATGCACAACACCTTTTTTTGAGCTAGTGAAATGTATGGATTGACCTGGTCAATTCAGGTGTCTTTCAAATACTCTTACATGCAATGTCGATTATAATTAAATTCTTTGTGATCCATTTATGTTTCGTTTTGGTTCAGTGTGAGAAAGTTATTGACATGTTTGGCCAACAGGGAACTTAGGTGCTTGAGGGACTCTATTTGACTCAAGGAAGGATTGGCCTTCTTCTTGATTTTTTTTATTTATTTTAAGTTTGGAAATGGTGTTGATACTTTGTCCCTTCTCAGAAGTGGATAGAAAGAGTGCTTATGCCAGTGCCTGCATATTTGGAAATATGGAGGTCTTGCCAGAGCTCAGAGCTTTGTGTAAAAGAGCCAGCACATTTATATTTGGTAAGTAGAATTCTCCTAGCAGGTTTCCCTAAAACAGCTGTTACTGCAGACTGTAACACTGGCTCCAGGATACATAAATGCGTAGTGCAGACTGTCTGAATTGGCTTTGTTAAGAGTTTGGGATGCAGAGAAAGAACCATGTCAGCCTTCTCAAGCCAGTGTTTTTGCAGTGGAATATAGAAATATCAAATAGGTGGGGAGCAAGGAGAGGAAAAGTGCACAATAATAGGTTTACTGTAGATTCTAAAATGATTCCCAGGTTTTAGTCCAGACATGCCCAGAACCTGTTTGAAGTATAGACTGGTTTTGCTTATATTTAATATTGAAAAGTACCTGTTCAGCTCTGGATTATCAAAATATGGAAGAGTACTGTCTAATCAGAAAGCTGACCACCTCAATATGAGCTAATTAGGTGTTTAAGTTAATACATGCAATTTCTTGTTCAGTAACATTCATTTAAAACAAATACACATCTGTCTGGTGTATTCAGTGATCCCCATTTTATCTTTGTCTTGCTTAATGTTTGTTGAAGCAACAGCTCATCGTTAGCATCTTAGACACAAATATCTTTGGGGATCAATGCAATGTTGTGTTGCTCAGGGCTCAGAGGTTTGGTTTTTATACAGGCCAACATGGCAATGTTACTTATGCATCTTTAGTAAATTGATGACTGCAGGAAAATACTTTACATCTGTCAGCCTAAGTATAGAATTATTTGTGTAGGTGAAGTGTGTAAGTGAATTTAAATTGCACATTATCAAACATGGAGGCTTCTATTTATGACCGCAGTTGTTAAAAGCAATTGTTTATGATTTGAAGGGCACAAAAGAAGCAAGTACTAGAATCTGGAATTTCAGGAGGAACTTGAGCTGCAGATGCGGAACTAAATAACAACCATCTTGGCAGTTACTTTCTCTCTTGGAACCTTCTCTCCTTGTCTGCCCTTGTTCTAGGAAAACGAAAACTTTTTTTTTCTTTTTCTTAAATTGCCACATTCATGACATATTGAAACACTGAATAGCTTTAACTTTCCACACCTGTACAGCACCCCACATTTCATTTGAAAGCAAACCTCTTTTATATTGTTTTTTGAGCAGAAGGTATAATTAAATAGTTCTTCTGAGCAGTCCAGTTATTAGTAGCTTATGACCAATAGATTTGTTGCTGCTCCATTGCCACTGAAGCTATTCTGGTAAGTAGCAAATCCTCTGTTGTTTGTGGACAGCTACGGAAACCACAAATGATCAGCAGCATTCAGTTCCTTGTGGGTTTATAAGTGGCTGCCAAACTCTGGAGAGAAGCGAGGAACTTGAGCTGGGAGTCTTTTCAGCTTTTGGTGGAAGAAACAGAGAGAAGAACATTGTTCATTTGAATAAAAGTTGTCACTGGTGATACAGAGAATGCAACTGCACAAAACCCTGTGCAGCCTGAGCTAACTTTGAGGTTGTCATTCATTTGAGCAGAGGTTGATCCAGAGAGCTTGTGAAGACCTTTTTAGCCAAAGTAACCCTGTTTCTCAGGTTTTCTATTTAAAAAGAACATTTGCTAACCATTCACAAAATGCGGGTACATAGCAGCTTCTCTATGACAAAACCTATCAAAGCTGGGTTCTGGTCGATGGCATACCTCATGTCTCATGGAGAAGCACAGATTTATGATCAATGCTATGAAGTCAGATGTGTCAAACTTAGATGTGCTGTTGCTGTTAAGCTGACACCTTAGTCTTAATTTATCTTGAGGTCTGAGGTTCTAGAGGGGATAGTATTTGGGGATAGAACTAAAACATGGTCTGTATTCATAAAGTAAAGTTAAATGGCTCCAGACAGGGTTAACCAAAGCCTTGTAACTGGAGTTTTGAGGTGTTTATACTACAGACCTCAAACTTACAAGCCTTTTATATTCAAAGGCTGGTTTAATGCTCAGTTTCATTTAGACTGCTGTGCAGACTTCTAATTGAAAACACTTTACATGTGATGTAATTCATATGCTGCTTAATATGGTTTTGTGGGCCAATTGCTATGTTCTTTTTTTCTTAAGTCATGTCTTGGGAACTACTGATCTAAATAAATAAGCTTTGAAGTTGCTTGGTTGATTGCTTTTTTTTTTTTTTTTTTTTCCCCTTTAAATTAAACTGGTAATTTGGTAATTTAAAGTTTGCTGAATGGGTAGACACTGGGGTTTTGTTTCGGTTTGCTTTTGTATTATTCAGCACTTAATGAAATTCCATTTTGCAGTATTTTGGTATTTTTCTATGCCAGAATGACTAAGTCATCCCTGTAGACATGCCAAATAACAGATTTTCAGCAGAAATTAATGCAATGAACTAAAGCAAAACCAGGATCTATATGAGAAGCTGATTATTGTTGTGCTAGGGCTTGTGCCAAACCTGCTAGAATAACTGAATGACCAAATTGTATTCAAGTGTAGTGATAGCTTCCTCTCTAAGGCTTCAAGTGTGCAGCCAAATAACTTGCATTGGCTGCATAGCATCGTAAAGCAATAAGCTTTTTCTTTCAGTAAGGATTGTCAAACTTTCCATGTTTGTTGCAGGTTATGGTATAAGCCGTTTGGGACGCAGAAAGAAGATAGCAGGGAAGAAGCGCTCTTACGGAGTTGTAACTGGCTTGGCAGCCAAGAAAGCGATGGGTTCACGCAAAGGAATTAGTCCTCTGAACAGACAGCCACTTAGCGAGAAGGTAATTAATGCAATTTTAGTGGTTCATTTAAGAACAGATTAAAAGCATGAAGCACAGTGGCTTCAGAAGAGTGCTACTGAAATAGAAAATGGAGACAATCTAGTGCAACCTTTTATTAAATTGGGGATGTGTTTGATGAGTTCTTGCTTGTTTTGAGGGGAGTGGTTAATGACTAGGTTTGAAAGTTTTAACACTTAACTAGGTTGGACGTCATTAAAATTGAAGTACAGATGTATATTCTGTGCAAGTATGGAGGTAATTACTGTATTTTTATGAGAAAAGCTCACTTAATAGGATTTCTTGTGTTTGCATTGCAGTGATTCAGCCAATATGCAGGTGTTAAGCATGTGCCTGTTACAAAAATGGAAGCTTTTGCAAAATACGTCACTCCATCAGTAGGCTGCCTCTTCTGCACTCCTCCAGTGCATTGGTGCCTGCTCAATCTCATTCAGTATTGTAGAACAGGGATTGCTTTTGGATTGTGAAGAAAAAGAATTTTAAAGATATGTGAAGCATGTACTTTGTGAGTTTGGGGAAATACAGTAAACAAAAAGTAACTGCTGAGCTTTGGGTTTTTGTGTCGATTCCTCCCTCCAGTAATGAGTGGAATATACAATTCATGAAAGTGTAGAAGGTATTTTCAAATTATACTAGGCTGTGAAAGGTAGGCAAGGCTAAATGTATTCTATATGCAGTTTGTAAATGGAAATTGAAGGAGAAGTGTTTGCGTGTATACAGGATACATACATGCTATATATATTTATTGTTTTTTAAGAATGCGCAGCGGTATTATCCAGTTTTGAAAAAGAAAACAAACCTACAGAGACAATCTGAAATGCAGAGAAAACAAGCTCCAGCCCTGAGGAGGCATGCTCTGCTAAACAGAAGGTAAAATACCAAGTCTGCTTTCTGAACTCTCCTTGACACCTTCTGATAGTGAGTCTTGCTTGATAGGACCATGTCAAAGAGAAAACAGTAAGTACTAGCAGTAATAACACGGTCGAGCCTACCGTGTGTATGAAGTTCTACAAATCTGGAAGCCAAGCGTGGAACAAACATCATCCCAGTACAAAGCCAGATATTTTATGACCACATAGAGCACTCGGGAATACCTGTATTTGTGAGTACCTAGCATGCTGCCTTCATTTAAGTCATAGGCAGCCTATACTGAAATGGCCAGTGTGGATTTCAGTAGCTTTGAAGTGACAGCCATGGTTTAGTGAACTTTCCAAAGAAAACACCTTTGCGGAAGCTGGTGCCATCTTCAGTTTCATAGAAGTATTGCATGTTTTATTTGTGTTGGAATTAACATGTCTGTTATAAACTGCATTTTAACTGCTGTCCATGATGAAAATTTTAACTGAGTGACTTTATTGTGGAAACTGTAAACAAACTTTCTTTATATGAATCAAGCTGCTCCTTGGTATTCATCTAATCAGCAATGTTTAAAGTGCTGAAGGATACCAAGTGAAGTAAAAAGCTGAACTAATAACCATACTGTCCTGTGACATGGTAGCACTAGGCTTATATGTAACAGAAGTATTTTTGCCGTTTGAGTAATGTGTTTTGTTCCTAGTACAGGTGAAGCTTATTGCAGCTGAAATGTTCTGCCTCAAAGAGGCAGCATTGCAGATGTCCTTAAGGATGTATTGGGCGTTTTCCTGTCATACACAGTAGTCACTCCAAAATGTTATCTGTGGAGCCTTTGATAACTATATTTTAATAAATATTACAGGAATAATGCGTTGTCAGCTTTTGCCAGAATTGGAAACAAACTAAATCAGCAGAAAGATACTCGTCAAGCAACCTTCCTGTTTAGAAGGGGCCTGAAGGTAATAAAAATTACTGAACATGACAATAACGAAGTGCCACAGGTTCTAAGCTAACCTATAACACTGATATTAATGAACTAACTTTGAATATCAGATCTGAGTAGAAACTTAAAGTGGATTGGGAAATAGCTACAGGTTCTTCTAGGGAAGTATACTTGTCGTTTTTAGTTACTGTAATCTACTGAGTCCTGCTTCCTGTTCCAGTGTAGCTGGATTGTTCAGAGGGGCTTGGAACTCATCGGTGGTTGCAGGGTATTAATTTTTCCTTTTAAAAAGTAAATGTTAGCACTTTGCAGCTTTCAAAAGTTGCTTTTAGGTGAATAGAGGAGAAGCATATTTTAGAATGATTATGGCTGGGGGAGGGTTAGTTATACGGGGTTATTTATTTTAGTTATTTAAGTTGTTATTTTAGTTACGCAAGGATTTTTTTTAGTTATTTTGAGTATGATCAAGAGAACAGAGAGTTGTGCAGTGAATGATAAGTGGTGTTCTCAGTTTGCCCTCATTCTACATCTGCCATCATTGTGACTGTAAGTAGCTGCTGTATTCCGTCCACACATTGTGGAATTATGGACAGGGGCAGGAGGAAGAAAAATAAAACCAAAGTCCTTTAAAACAGCGGTGAGAGTGTATTGGGTATTATATGTGTTAACATTGATCGGATTAGGAGCTAACCAGGTTTTTCTCACTGGCCTGGTAAGGTTTTGGTGTATCTTGGTAAAGTGTTATGTTTGCTGACATAGTCCTCAAAAATGTTTCCATCTCTTTATTGGTTAAGTTACTGTCATTGACAATTTCGTATAAAATCACTGTGTTCTTAATTTCTTTCCAATGTCTTGCAAAGGTAATAGGATAGTTATCTTTGAAGTCCCTCTGAAATTGCAACTGTTCTTGTGCAGTGTACAAACAGCTTTAAACTTCTGGTTTTGAACTTCTCTATTTCCAGCTGCCGCAATAGGAATCAAAACAGTGTTCAAATTCAGTGTCTGTGTTGATGTTTTCAGGTGCAAGCCCAAGTGCAGTCAACAGATGATCTTGATAATCAGACAGTAAAGAGAACTCGTCAGTAAGTATGTAATTTGTAAAACTTCAGTTTGCTTACCAGTGAGATTCTCATTTTAGCTCTGGCTTCAGGGCTATGATAATTGAATGGTTTTTCTTTTACCCTGTATGCGTATCAACTGAGAGACAGTGATCCTCCCTCTATTCTCAGTTATTATCTTCTAATTTAACCAGGAGAAGTTTGTTTTTGCTTAAGACATTTGCAGGAATGAGGAGGGAGGAGGTAGCTTCAGAGGATCAGACTGATCTTTACCACTCATGGATACCACATAGACTGGAAGAAAAAATTCAAATGTCAGTGTTCTCCTGAGCTTTTAATGTAATTTGCATTTTATTTAATACACATATAAGCCTATAAAACAGTTTGGAAGTAAACAAAGCAGATCACAGGTGGACACTCGACTCTGCCTGCACGTATTCTTCCCATATGGTTCCATGCTTGCTAGGCTATTCACAACTTTGTTGGTAACACAGCAGGCTGAGTAAACAGCGTATGCCACAGACCTGAATCTGTCACCTTTTTGATTTGCTGTAAGGACCATTTGGGTCCCATCTGTGGCAAGGAAATGGAATGTTTGAAAAAAATGAACATTTCAGTCAGTGCTGCAGTTCCTGGTACACCTTGCCAGTGTGTGATGTAGCACTCACCTGAATAGGTTTAGATAGTGTAAAAGATAGAAGAATCAATAGTCAAGCTTCTTGCAGATTGTTTGACTGCATGTGGTGTTTGCACTGCCCTATATTCTGAAAGCTTGTATGTTCTTTACTAGTCCAGTGTTTTGGACACACATTTAAAGATACTTTGACTTAAATTTCTGTATATTTTTGTAAGTGACTTCTGTGTTTCCCATCTAGATGGCGAACTTCTACCACTACTGGAGGGATTCTAACTGTGTCTATTGACAACCCAGGAGCCATCATAACCCCAATGTGAGTTTTCAGAAAAGTTCTGAAATATTCTTAGCATAACCAAAATTGCTGGTCTGAGCCATTTAGCAAGTTCTTTGCAGGTAGTATTTCAGATGTCTTCAAGGTCACAGCTTCTTGAGAAGACTTTAAATCTGGCTCCTTTCTGAGTGTTTCTGAGCAATGTTTGAATAATATCACAACTGGATTTCACAAGACATGTCCCAGTTAGGAGCTTGATGCTGTGTTAGAGTCAAAGTGTGGTGGGCTGGTAAATTTTCACCTTGTCTGTTTCTTCCAAATCAGATTGTATTGCAGCTGTTCTGTCTGAAAAGGAAGGAGCATCTAGTTGATTAGTGATGGTAATAGTTCCTCCGTGATTCATAAAAATACTTCTGGAGCTGTGCTTAAGGAAAGCATTACTGTTTCTGTTGTTGATAGGAAGTTGATGGTACTGTTGTTTCATGAGATGTTTTATTTTAATCTTAAGTAGCCTCTTTCATTAGTAGCATTTTATCTGTAAGGAAGACTATCAATTTTAGTTTTCTGTATTTACGGGAATCATTAACTCCAAATTATGTATTTGTCAGAAGGAGTGAGAGGTAAAAGATGACTTCCTGTCAGGACACTTGCTGTCTGATTACAGTAACAAATGGTACCTTTTTATAGTTCTGCATGACTTGTACCTTCTTGAATTTGTACCCTTCAGCTATTCAGCCACTCTGATGAAATGGCTTGATGAAAAATTAATACCTCCACATAAAACACATATTCACTGTGTCCTTTGTACCATTCTTCTTTCACAGTTCCCCAAAATTGCGATTAACTCGTACTCCTGTGCCACCATTTCTGATGAAGAGGGACCAATCTGAAGAGAAGAAGATTCCCAAAGGGGTTCCATTGCAGTTTGATATTAATAGTGTTGGAAAACAGGTAAATGCATTTTCTTTGCTTAACTGTGGAAGTAGTTTCAAGACAGATGAAAGTCAGTGAGCTAGGCACTTTCCATCCAGACTCACTAGTGACAGGAAGGGGGAACTAGTGACTACTTTTTGTTTCCACTTCCAGTTCTTTCACTAACTTGCTATTTAACTTCATACAGGTAACTAAACTCACTGTTCCTGTTAGTCTAGTTCGTGTCTTGCATGCCCACATGCTTTAAATGGGATATAAAATGTTGGATATTTCTGAAAGCCTTTGAGTGTTCCTGCAGTGCTTGAGTCAGCAACTGCATGTAATTCAGGGATGAGTTGTTTTCAGTTGTGTCACCTGCATGAACCCCAACAGCTGAATTTATAAGGTGACTTTTGCTATGCATCTAGGAAAAAAAAATAATCTAATGATGTAAAGGCTTAAAGATGAACCTTTTTTCGCAAGTTTCATGAAGACACGTGATTTGGTTCAGGAATCTTGGTGCTGTCATTGAAAGAATTCTTACAGGGTGACAGTTAGATGCTGCTTTTGTAATTGGCGCCTTCCTGCCAGCTGTAGAAAACTCCATGGACTCAGGGTGTCAGACTGGATTTTTTCCTTCCATGAATAAGCAGTATGGCAAAAACAGTCTCCTACTATACTGTAAAATTAATTGAACTTTTGGACTAGACTCCAGTCTACTGTGTCAGCTGGATGGACCAGAAAGCAACTTTGCATTAACATAGTTAAAATGCTGCATTTGTTGAAGTTGCATGGCAACTATGTGGGAAAATTAGTGTAATAGAAGTTCCCTTTTTCAGTCTGTCTGTCCTCAGTTTAATGTATTTTGAGGATACGTTGTCTTCGCATTGTATACCATGTGTTTTTAATGAATTCTGAGAAATGAGAAATGCTAGCTCTTGATTTGTAGTCCAGTCTGACTTTTAAATGGTGTGGGAAATGATGAAATCAGCTTAAACCATTTTTTTCATCCAAGTGAGGCCATTAAGAAATCTGTGTGATGATACAGAATCAGGAAAAAAAAAAATTTGTTGTCTCTCTTACTTGGATTAAATTAACCTAATATCTTTTAAGACTATAGTTAAATTACTTTATTTCTCAGACAGGGATGACGTTGAATGAACGTTTTGGGATCCTTAAGGAACAAAGAACAGCACTGTCTCAGAACAAAGGGAGCCGTTTTGTAACAGTGGGCTAATCTGACAGATGGACTTGAGCACTGATCCCACCTACCTAAGAAACAGAGATAAAAGTGGGCAGAATGCAGCACACATCACTGAAATTCTCTGGACTTCATGCTGAGACGGTGGCAGAGCTCTTTCTCTTTATTACTTTGAATGGTAAAAGACATGATGCCCTGAGAGGGGGAAAGCGGGAAAACTGATCTGCTGGAGTGGCACCATCACCTGGTCGGAAAAGATTCTGTGGCCCAGCTAATGACAAACACCGATTTTGGTTCTTGTAACCAAAATACACAAATTTTAAAAGCTTTTTGTTTGGTGGTTTTTTGGTTTTTGTTGTTGGGTTTTTGGGTTTTTTTGGTTGGTTGGTGTTTTTGTTTGGTTTTGGTTTTTTGTTTTTGTTTATTTAGGAGTGCTCAGTATCTATTCTTTGACCCCTGTCATGATAAAGATTGTGTGTTTAATTACAAACCCCATTTTAGGGATTTTTAGGGACTGCCTATAAACTTTCCTGTGGGCTGCTGTTTGGCACAGAGCCTCAGTCCATGAATACTTTGGTAGTGATGTAGTGGCATTTTTCATGGGAGCATTGGTTGTATTTCTTTGTGGTTTTGAAGTTCAGGTTTTTTTCCTTTCTTGAAAAGTAAATGTTTTGCATCCTCACTTTCACAAATAAAGCTGTTAGCTGAGATATCCAAAATATGAAATTGGGATGGAGACTATTCTACTCTTACCCTTAAAAGTGGTCCAGATTGTAGTGGAGGAATACTGCACAGGCAGTGTGAGAGTAACTTACATTACAAATAGCTCAAGCTCATTATCCTCCTCTGTAAACAGGGTATGTCTGTCTCCTATTTTTTCTTAAACTTTTGCTTTGTTTCTTTTTGTAAGCTTTTTCACAAACTTAAAGCAATAACTTTGCAATTTTGAATAATTCCATAGGAATAAATACAACTGTGCACCAGAAAGCCAGTGGTACAGTAGAGTACCTTATCCTCCCCAGACATAGGATTCTCATTTTGCATTCCTTGCCCCAGAGGGTTTTCTCTGGCTCTTGGAAATAGCCAGAGGCAAGCAATCTAATGGCACTTGTTTGTATATACCAAAGAGAGGAAAGATGGGAACCTGATCAGAAGTGGTCAGACATCTTAAAATTGTCTGGAACCGGGGAATGTTGCTGGAGGAAAGCCCTCAGTTTGCCAGCATGTGTGAGGCGTTAAGCAGGAGCATGTAGTCATTGCTTTAAGCTTAGCTTTGTGCATCACAGTCTGCAGGATGGTAACAACTGGGGCATCCTCAGTCTGAATTTGTATGATCCCTAAAACAGGCACCTGTTCAGAATTGATTCCAGACCAGGAACTTAACTGTGTGCTATAGCAATGAGATTTAGGTAGAGTCAAGTAAAAGAACAACTGGCTTGCTGCATCCAGAAGTGTTTACGGTGTTTGAAGTGTGTTTAATTCCTTTTCTTGTTCTTCAAGAATTTACATTTGACTTCTTAGAGTTGGTTTCCTTGTGTTTTTATCTCAAATTCCAGGTTAAGTGGCACTTACCGTGAACTTCAATGTTGAAGAATGTTTGACATTAGAAGGGCTTTTGTATAGCAGTTTTAAAGTCAGAGTGCATCCTGATACTATATAGTACTTAAACCCTTATTTTTAATGTTGAAAAATATACCGTAGCAGAAGCAAACTAATCGTAATGGCGTTAAGAGTTCGGGGTTTTTTTTCCTCTTAATTACTAGTAGGAAATGGGGTTTTTTTGGAAAAAATGTCCCACTGTTAGAATTGGAGTAGATAAAGTGTTGTCAGTCACCCTGTTTCAGTGTATACATTCTTCCATGTGCCAGGATGCAACAAAAATAACATTCTTTTGCATCAACATAGATGCAAAACATTGATGCAATGCATCAAAAAATGCTAGTTTGTATTTAATGAGAAGATGCGTTACACTGTACCTTTTGGTATTTTTTGAAGAAGTTATTACATTGGATCTATTCTGAAGCTGTTAATTATTATTTTTTTTTTTTAATTAATAAAAAGTTACAGGTTTCATACTGTCGTGTTCCTGTTCTAACCACCTGGGCAGTATATTGGTTATGTGAATTTTGTCATATCTTTCAAGAGATTCTTAATAATTAGATTCTTGTTAAATGTTCTGAAGAATATACCAGAAAGGAGGCTTATTTGAAGAGGGCTCATATTCAGCACCCAGCCTAATATCGTGAAAATTAAGCAGTTCTTGGAGTGGCACTGTACAAACTCACTTGCATTTAAATATGTATTTATGTGTTTTTTCAGTAGCACCATATACCATAGTAGTTTAGTGTGATTATAGAACCAGATCCCTTAATTGGTCAGGCGGAGCACTGGTTTCATATTGCTGTGACATACCTTGCTAGTGAGAAGTCGCTGTCACCTGAACCTCGGGTTGCAGGATTGATGTGAATACCCTGAGAAAACAACCACCACTGTGGTTCAAATGCGGAGCTGGCTCTGCAGGCTTGTGTTAGCACTGGAAGTAGGAGGTGCAGGAAGAAAATGCTGCCTGCAAATAACGTTTGATAAGGTGTTGAGGAGGAAGAGTGTCTGAAGCCTTTGTTCTTCATTACCAGCTCAAGCCCGCACAGTTGCGAGCTTTGCCCGACCGTTCCAGTGTAACAGTACATCAGTGCTTGCCCAAATCAAGACCGGCGTTTATCTGGACACTGCAAAGAGCGCAACCTTTTAGGGACTGATGACACCAAGTTAAAGAAGACTAATCAGTTGTTACTCTTCCCACCTAGTTCGGATCCCTGCGCTCTCCCCTCGGTTTGC